GATAGATAGATAGATAGATAGATAGATAGATAGATAGATAGATAGATAGATAGATAGATAGATAGATAAAGAGAGAGGGGGGGAGGGAGAGAGAGAGAGAGAGAGAGAATACACATACACGCACAAACACGGTAAAGGTTCCCCTCACACATATGTGCTAGCCATTTCTGACTCTGGGGGCTGGTGCTCATCTCCGTTTCAAAGCCAAAGAGCCAGCGCTGTCCGAAGACATCTCTGTGATCATGTGACCTGCATGACTAAACGCCAAAGGCGCACGGGACGCTGCTACCTTCTCACCACAAGAGTCCCTATTTTTCTAGTTGTATTTTTACATAGTTTCGAACTACTAGATTGGCAGAAGCTGGGACAAGTAACAGGAGCTCATTCCGTTATGCAGTACTAGGGATTTGAACCGCCAAACTGCCAAACTTTGCTACTACCAGTTTTGATTGAGAAATGTGTTATAATTATAAGAAGGCATTTTTTTAAAGAGTAAAGTGTTGATTACATTTGTCCCTGGGGACACCTCTACATTATGCTCCTTTTGTATTCCAGGAGGAAATTTCCAAGTATGACAAAATTTGTGAAGAGGCTCATGCCAGGTCCAAGGATGAAAAAATCCTTCACATCAAGCATTGGTTAGACTCTCCATGGCCTGGTAAGTTACTGTCTACTTGTTAATTGCCATGGAGAAAAAATACTTCTTGGCCAATAGATTGCACTTGCAGTTTCTGGCACAAACATGAGTTGTCCTTGCCTAGAACTCCAAGTTCTGAAAATTCCATATAAGGATCATAAGAAGTAGTCAGCATTATTAATAAACAAAATGTGCTTGCATTAAACTAAAAGGCACTTGATGAAGAATTTTTGTTCTTCTACCAGATGCTCTGGCAGGATGATCCAGTAGTTTAATTGGACAGAATTTATTTGCCAAATACCTTCACAAAAGAAATTTGGCAGTGAAGAACATCTTTTTAAAGGAATTGTTCTAGCTAGAGCTTGCTCCTCCTGTGACTGTCTTCCTTGCCTCTTTTTATGTCCTCTTCTTAAATGTCCAGGTTTCTTCACCCTGGATGGCCAACCTCGGAGCATGACTTGTCCTTCTACTGGCTTGACTGAAGAAGATTTGGTCCATATAGGAAAGGTGGCCAGCTCAGTTCCTGTTGAAAATTTTACCATTCATGGGGGTATGGTTTTCTATATTTTTCCCCCTTGAGTTTTACTTTTTAATGACTTCATTAGAAAATGGAATGTGTTATTTGCATAGAGGAGTCTTTTGCAAAGTTTCCTTGAAACCTCTCTTAGATGTTTGGAATTGAGGAAGCAATCAGTACTTCGTTTCTGTTTTGCATGTTTTAATGATGGCTAACAAGATTCCATGTATTATATATCCTAGTACATTTGGGCCTGCCTCATAGCCAATCCAAGCTGTCAGCAAATTAAGATGAAAATAGATTCTGCTTCAGAGCTTAATCTTTCAGTCTTAGCCTTTGCTCTCTTTCTACATGTTAAGTTTGTGCTTTGATTTATAGCAGCCTTACCTGAGCACCCTCCAGGCATGTGAATTTCAGCTCCTAAAATTCCACAGCCAGCATGGTTACTGTTGAGGATTTTGGAATTGTAGTACATACAGCTGAAGGGTACTCAGATATGGAAGTAATCTATGATGCAATATTCTTCACTGTTTGCTACCCAAAGCAACAGACTTTCAAATCTGTAAAGGCATCTACACATTTTTGAAAATGCTATCATAAAGTTTTCAAGCAGATTAATGATTATTATTTTTCTCCAAAGGTTTAAGCAGGATTTTAAAAACACGAGGAGAGTTGGTTGCCAATAGGACTGTAGACTGGGCCTTAGCAGAATATATGGCATTTGGCTCTCTTCTTAAAGAAGGAATCCATATTCGGCTGAGTGGACAAGATGTTGAAAGAGGAACATTCAGGTAACGTGTGTTTATTGTATATGGGCAGTCTTTCTTTAACCAATCCAGGACTTTTGTGAAAATCCATAACATTTGGAAGCAAATGCAAAATGGTCAACATAGCATTATCTTCAGCTTAGGCCATAATAATGAGCAGTCAGAGATGTAACTTTATATCTCCCTTCTAGGGCCTGTAGTGGGACATCAAATTAAGTCAATGTAAATGTTATCCTACATTGATTTAGGTATTCAGCAGATCTAAGGAGAGTGACAAATTGGTTAGGAATATATATTTGAAGAAACATAATGGGTCTAAGTGGATATCAGTATCCAAATGTACAAAATTGGGTTAATAAAAATCCAGAAGCACCATTTTTTTCCTATTGCTTTAGGAATGATAAAAGGTTGCCAGTAAGGATCCAAGATATCAAGACCTACAAGGGCAAAGTATACTTTGACCTTTGACGTGAAGGTGTTTAACCAAGTAGTAATCTCAATCTTCACTGCAGACAACCTGTTTGAGACCCAGGAGGGGACTTGAAATATGTTCCTAAGAAATTGGAGTATAACTCTTTTTAGAGGATTAATGGCATTTTATATTTAACTTGAGTACACTTGGCATGCAGCTGGGATGATTCAGGCTCCTTTAGTATAGAAAATGATTGCAAAGTGTCTGTGGCTGACTGGGCATTTTGTACTACGTATTCTCTGTGCGTTGTGCTTGAGATTGTGGCATGGAAAACTATGCCTACATATTTTATCAATTTAGCCCGCTCAATACAATGATTACTTAGAGTCCAAATATGATGGCATTTCACAAAGACGACCACATTGTAGTTCATTCCCAGAGGAAATAATTGGCCAAAACGTAGAGCACCCGTCATAGGCCTGTCAGGGAAATTAATGCAACATTATCTGCATATAATGCAATTGAAATATGTTTCTTGACTCTTTTTGGTGAACGATGAGAGAAGTAATTGATCATGGCAACCAGTGTGTTAATAAAATAATTAAACAACAATGGGGTAAGAGTACTGGCTTGTCTACTTCCTCTGTCTCACTGGTATGTTATTCTTTGGAGTTTATTTAACTTTGATTATAGAGATTGCAGTATAGGTTAGTAGTCACAGCCTTCTGTCTACAGAAGAGTTTTACAATTTGCACTACAGGTTGGGCCTAGAAATCAGATTCAAAGCTGCTTTGAAATCTGTGACAGCTGTATAGCGTGAGGTCCGTGATTTAGAGGAGTCTTTTCTGCCAAGGATTTAAATAAAATTTCCACTCGTATTTTTCTCCAGCCATCGGCACCATGTCTTGCATGATCAGAATGTTGACAAGCGAACCTGTATTCCCATGAATCATCTATGGCCAAATCAAGCTCCTTACACTGTCTGCAATAGTTCTCTCTCAGAATATGGAGTCCTAGGTATGTCTTTTCCCTACTAAAACTTAAAGGAGTTACGTAAACTGTTGAGTTTTAAATCTATCCCTCCCTGATAATTTTCCTCCCCACCCCCAAAAAAAGCTTTCCATTTCCATCAATGCAGGATTTGAGCTGGGCTTTGCTATGGCCAGTCCCAATGCTTTGGTGGTTTGGGAAGCTCAATTTGGCGACTTCCACAATACTGCTCAGTGTATCATCGACCAGTTCATCTGCTCTGGGCAGGCCAAATGGGTGAGGCAGAATGGCATTGTACTCCTTCTTCCCCATGGCATGGAGGGCATGGTAAGGAAACATTTGTGTTGTTTTTTAATAACTTTCCTTTTATCTGCCTGATAGGTGGATTTAGACTTTAATATCTATGTTTAGACACTGTTAAATTAGATCCTACATATAGAGTTGCCCTGCATTGAAAATTCTTGCATATGTTGAAGTAATTAAAAGCATTAAAGCCTGTATCAGCATAACAAAATTGAAAATGAGAAATAATATTAACTTATTAACTTTTGTTCCGATATTAGAACATATTCTAATAGCACATTGGAAAAGTGCCTAATAGTGCATATTAAAATTTGTGGGTTGGAAATTAGATTTATTTCTTTATGGCTTTGTTTATTGTTTTTTACATCTACCTGTTCAGCATTTCAGCGCCATCATACATTGTCTGATTCCTCATTTACCTCTAGTGAGATAGAGCAAGCTAAGGGAAAAAATAACTGGCCCAAAGTCCTCCAGCTAATTCCATTATCAAGAGAGGACTTGAAGTGGTTCTCCCTGCTTCATATCCAGTTACTTTAACCATTGCTCTATAGCAACCCTCTTTCTGGAAGAAATGCTCAGTTTTGCCTCAATGTCCTCTTTAGCCAAGAAAAGGCCATTCCTCAAGAAAGTTCCGTATTTGTTTGCAGGGCCCTGAGCATTCTTCTGCTCGACCAGAACGATTCTTACAAATGTGCAATGATGATCCAGATGTCTTCCCGGTGAGTTGGCTGTGAGTGCATATTGGCCACGCCTTTCTTCTGTCCACACATCCCTTAGCTACATTTCTAAGAATGCTAAGAAGAGTTTCGGGGGGTGGCGGGTGGAATAAGTCCAGTATCAGCTTGTAGTAGACTGAAGTGGCTCCTCCATGTGTCCCCAAACACTCTGTAATCACCACAATGCTTTACTTCAGGGTAGGCAACCTGAAATAGCAAGGATGCAAATTAGAGCCCCCCCAATCCAACGTCCAATCTCTTTAAAAAGTGTCACAGATTTCTAGTAGTTTGAGATGGGCAATGCAAGAATTATAAAACATAATGCTTTCAAAGAAAAAAAATCCTCCTCAAAATATCTGGCCTACCATAATTCAGCTCTTACCCCACTGTTTCAGCTGTCTTGCTTCCTCTCACCTTTTAAAGGGAACCCCCTTCCCTAGTCCCAGAGATGTATTTCACAGTTGATTCACAGGGTCTTTGACCACTTTGACAATTCTTCTATTCTGAATTCCGTCCTTGTTTTCCTACAGAAACTAGACGACTTTGATGTGCGCCAGCTGTACGACTGCAATTGGATTGTCGTAAACTGCTCCACTCCAGCCAACTTTTTCCATGTTATGCGGAGGCAGATACTTCTTCCCTTCCGGAAACCAGTCAGTATGAAGAATGACTTCCTTAGTACAAAGAGGGACATGGGTTCTCCCTTCCCCCCTTCCTAGCTTTAATTAGACCCTGAAGTCAAGTAGAAAGTGGCACATGACAAATTGTGAAACAATTCTGAACTTATCACTAGCTAAAGAAAAACACTCTGGTGGATGGGGGAACTGTAAACTAAGATTAATTTGCAAAGAGCCCGTTTTTGCTTGGTAGATTCTGACTATCCAGCTGGTTCTGTTCCTTGGCATTTTTTACAGCACCCTGTTCACCACCCAGGAGTTCTCTTTGCAATAAAAGCCAGTGGGCAAATGTTTTCACTTCCTCATTGAACTTTATGCCACATACATATTCATGCCTAGAAAAGGTTGATTAGTTAGTCATAGCTGATATGCTCTACTGAATATTAATATCTTAGTTTTTAGGCAAATCATTTTAAATTGTATTTAAACAATTTAAATACATCCTGGAGCTCTTTTTTTTTCCGACTGACAAAAATAACGTTTTTTTCAGAGCAGTTGAACTTAGTGGCAGATAATGAAGGAAGTATCAAATACAGGTAGTCCTTGCTTAACAACCCTAATTGGGATCAGAATTTCTGTTGTTAAGAGATGCAGTCTTTATCTGAAACATCAAGACTTCCTTGCTTAGAGGTGACAATTTTAATAGTTCCAGTTGCAGTTGTTAGGCCAAGACCTCATACTTCTCCTGTCCTGCTCTTCTCACTTTCACTTCAACTCTCCCCAGTCACCTATCTATCCCCCCATTCCTGCACCTTCTCACCTCTGCCACCCTGCATCTACCACTCCTGCTGTCTTTCCCCCCTGCACTCCACTGGCCCTGCTTCTCCTGTTTCCTCTGCTACTCCTGCCAGCCTGACTTGCATTTCCCTTTGCCACAGCTGATTTTCACCATTTTCTTCCTGCTGCTGCTGAGGTGCTGCTTCATGAAGGGCCAAACTGGGTGCATCTCGTTGAGGAAGAAGATGTGAAATCAGCTGTGGGCAGCAAGGGCAGTAGGAGTGTAGGGCAATGGGGGGTACAGGGCAGCAATGGTGGCAAAGTACAGGCAGTCAAAAGGGCAGATCTGGAGGAGGGATAAGCAAGTGGGTGGAGCTGAAGTACACCTTGTAATTGTAAATGTGGACAGACTGCCAAGGGGTTGAATTTTGATCACATGACTGCAGGGGCACTGCAACAGTCATAATGGTGAGACTTTATAGCAGTTAGACTTATATAGCAGTTAGACTTATATACCGCTTCATAGGGCTTTCAGCCCTCTCTAAGCGGTTTACAGAATCAGTATATTGCCCCCAACAATCCGGGTCCTCATTTTACCCACCTCGGAAGGATGGAAGGCTGAGTCAACCTTGAGCCGGTGAGATTTGAACAGCAGTAGCCTGCAGTGCTGCATTTAACCACTGCACCACCTCGGCTCTTGAAAGGTCACTGAATGAATAGTCGTTAAACAAGGACGATCTATACCAGTGATGGCGAACCTATGGCACGCGTGCCACAGGTGGCACGCGGAGCCATTTGTCAGGGCATGCGAGGCGCTGCCCTGTCAGCTACGTTCACCCTTTTTAAAGCCATTTTTCGCCCTCCAGAGGCTTTATAGGAGCCTGGGGAGAGCGAAAAGAGCCCCCCCCCCCCCCGGAAGCCTTCTGGAGGCTTCATGAGCTTCCGTGAAATCTCCGGAGCGCAAAAAACTGGCCCTATGGGCAAACTGGAAGTTCGGAAACGGATGTCCTGTTTGCTCGGAGGGCCGTTTTGACTGCTCTGGAGTTTTCAGGGAAGCCTCCTGAAGGTCCCTGAAGCCTCCAGAGGGCGTCCGGGGGGGGGGGCTGTTTTCGCCCTCCCCAGGCTCCTATAAAGCCTCTGGAGCCTGGGGAGGGTGAAAAAAGCATGCAAAAAATGGGGGTCGTGCCTGTAGTGCGCGCATGCGCACTGGGGGGTCACGCATTCCTTTATAGGTGCGGCACGCTCACACATGACCCCCCCTGCGCTCCCCCCACTTATGGCACGCGAGCCAAAAAAGGTTCACCATCGCTGGTCTATACAGTGTTAGCAGAATGGATCCAATACAGCATCTTGCTTCCAGTAGCCTTTAACCCAGTGCTTTTGGAAAGCCAAGAAACCCTGAGTAAAGACTATGGCCCTCCCTCATAGCTACCCCTTTCCAGGTTCACAGCTTCTGAGGATGGGAATCCTGCAGAGCCCCCAGAGCTGCTGCTAGATGAATCCTCCATGACTGCATTTTAAAGCCATCTCAGCTTGATTCCTTTACTCACTGAATCCATGAAATCTGCTGGCATATTTTCTATTCTTACCTCCTTGAGGCTTTCTTACTTCAGAGCGTTTCTTTACTTTGTTAATCCAAATATATTACTATTCCAAAAACTAAACTACAGATCCGAATACTTTAGGATCTCTGTAGCATCCCAGCAAGTGCGCATTTTGGATTTCACTCTTACCCCCATTTGAGTCATATTCAAGAAACGATTGAAATCAAATATTTCAGAGTGTCTCTAAAGATATTGTTACCAAAGAGAGCACTTTTATTGTTTTGCATTCCTGCTAAATACCTTACTGACAAGTGTGAAAAATTACTTTATCCTGGTATCATCTGGTTGTGTGTCTGGCATTTTTCTTTGGTCAATGTTCTCCTAGAAACACTGAGTGCAGTTCTGATGAAGTTCAGAAACAGAACCTTTGAACAATTAACTTTGGATTATTGTTGTTTCATTAAATTCTAAACACTTTTGTACTTACACCTCAATACTAATTTGGGTTGTGTTCCCCTGTCCCTCCCTCTCCCTCTCTTTTTTTAGCTGATAGTCTTCACTCCAAAGTCCTTGTTGCGTCACCCTGAAGCTCGGTCCAGCTTTGATGAAATGCTGGCAGGTACAGTAGACTTGGGATCAGTGCTATGGAGGAATGTCTTATTCGGTAGAAGGGAATGTGACTGAACAATTAGACAAGGAAACTCTTGAAGTTCACCACAAGGCCAGAAAGACAACTCTGCCTGCCAGCCTTCCTAAAGTTCTATTAACCTTCATAGGAGCAGAGTCAGTTTTGGATGCCTGGGTCTTCTGTGCTAGGAAAAATCATCACCTTTACTAAATTATACCCAGGGAAAGAGCTCATATGTAGCAAAATAGTTGGAGCTGTGTCATTTGTCTCGGATTCAGGCCTTGAGATATTGGTTTAAGGTCATGAAGTTGTTCTTCCAGCACTTTGCTTTGACTTGGAGTTTCCTGTGAAGAAAGACATGAGCGGGGAATAGTGCTCCGTTGCTACTTGTATTTGACAAAAGCTTTGAAGTAGGAGCTGTAGTACCCCAACAATTGCAATCAATCTTGATATTTTTTAAAAACTGCATGGCATCAAAGAATAGTGTGATTTTTCTCAACAAAAGCAGGTCTTTATGGAAAAGATACCCTGCTGTTAATTCTGCCCTTTTGTAACCTCATATTTGTCCCCTTCCTCTTTTTTTATAAACTATTTTATAAACTCCTTGGAGCAGATTTTACTATGTACACTGATATATAACAAAAAGTAATAACCTCCACTGCTTTCCAGGCACTCGTTTCCAGCGTGTCATCCCAGACACTAGTCTGGCAGCACAGAATCCAGAACAAGTCAAACGGGTTCTCTTCTGCACTGGTAAACTTTATTATGAACTCATTCGAGAGCGGAAGACACGGAATATGGAAGCAGATGTGGCCATCACAAGGGTAGAGCAGGTAGGGCTTTTGTGGGAATGCTATTGTTGATTTACAAAAGTAGGACTCCTGCGTGCTTTTTGAGCTTTGAGCAATAAGTATTTTGAAGCTCGATAGAATTTTATGAACAGGAAGCTAAAGAATTCCACACTGGTACTCCAAATGAATAGGTCTTCCGCTGGCAAAAGTAAGATTTAACTATCAGGCATGTTCTAATCCTCTAGCTTTGTTTGGTGGACTAAGAGCCGAGGTGGCGCAGTGGTTAAATGCAGCACTGCAGGCTACTTCAGCTGACTGCTGTTCTGCAGTTCGGTGGTTCAAATCTCACCGGCTCAAGGTTGACTCAGCCTTCCATCCTTCCGAGGTGGGTAAAATGAGGACCCGGATTGTTGTTGGGGGCAATATGCTGACTCTGTAAACCGCTTAGAGAGGGCTGAAAGCCCTATGAAGCGGTATATAAGTCTAACTGCTATTGCTATTGCTATTGCTACAGTTCTGAAGTAGAGTCAGGTTTTCTGCAACACTTTGCAGGTTTCTTACAGACGTCTGGTTCTGAAAAGAATCCTAAAAGGTTTCTGCAGCAAATATCTAAACAGACCTTATGAATTTTCTCTTCATTCCTCCTGGCAAGTAAGCCAAGATGGAGGTTAAAGTATGAGTGATCTGACTTTGCCTGCAGAATATTTGGATTAGGCCCAATTTATAACTAAATGAAAGTCCTTTATTGGCCTTAACAACTTCTTAAATTTCTGATATATTGCTCAGTCTCTTTTTTTTTTCTTTTTAACTGTGTAAGTATCTTATGGATTAAGTGCTTGTTTTTCCATTTTCCCTGGAGTTTGTGAAATAGACTGACCTTTTTTTTAAAAATTTTCCTACTGCAATTTGTTTATGAAGGTAGAAGGCTAAAAATCATTCATAATAAACTCAAGGCCTTTTCTTTCTAGCTGTCGCCATTCCCTTTTGACCTCCTGCTGAAGGAATTCCATAAATACCCCAATGCAGACCTAGCTTGGTGTCAAGAAGAGCACAAAAACCAAGGATATTATGATTACGTGAAGCCTAGACTCCGCACAACCATTGACCGTGCAAAGCCAGTGTGGTAAGGGGCTTCGGCGACTCTGATAGAGGGATAGGTTTGTACAGTTGCTCCGGCAGTATCAGTCCGATCCCAGTGAGAGCTCAGGAGTGGTCTGTTCTAGGAAAAGAGGAGAAGAAGAAACATGCTGATACATAAGGTCTCAGTAGCACAGGCTTCATTTTTGGGCTCCAACAGTCCCTCAAATCCTATACGTGCCAGTAAAATTTAACAATTTAAGCACGATTTAACATTGTTTCCCAATGGAAAACCAAATGGGTCTCTGAACACCCAGACATAGGAAGACAAATGATCCCACAAAAAAGATGCCAGGCTTTGAACTACCACGTCAGCAGTGATAGTCCTAAACACGATTCACAACTCACGTGGCGTCTGCCATGACTCTCTGTATAAATGAGGCCTAGCATCCTCCCCTAAGTGTGACTGCGGGGTCCCGCTTCAAATTGTAGATTTGTGACCAGCTGTAAGCTGAAGACATATACCAATCCATGGATCTTTTTTTTTAATATAAACGATGCTACGCTTCAATGGTTAGATGGCCCAGACACTGGCATTTGAACCCAGATCTTTTTAACATGTAGGTTTTATTACGTTTTACTAATCTAGGTGAAATGTTAATATGTTGCTGTATGATATGCCATGTGAGAGAGGGAGAGAGGGTGGGGGAATAAAGCAGCAAATGAGCAATTGTGTGTCTGCTTTTCTCCCTTTAGGTATGCTGGCCGAGAACCTGCTGCTGCCCCAGCAACAGGCAACAAAAAGAATCACTTGACCGAACTGCAACGCTTGCTGGACACGGCCTTTAACCTCGACTCTTTCAAGGGCTTGTCTTAGATACATCTGGACCTTAGTTCTGTCCCGACACCCTGTGTTTGTGGTGTTTCTATCTATCATTTCCTTTCTGTGTCTTTTAACTATAGACTTTGTAAACTAACTTAAGGAGCCTGTTATTAACCTCTTCCTGCTGTTAAAAGAAGTGCTCCATCAAAACAATCCCTGTCTGAATATTTGTGTTAAGGTTTCTGAGGGTTGCTGCAGCTCAGATCTTCTGGAGCAGTGTGGGTTCACGCCTGCACAAACCCCTGGGGCATACCTTGCTCCACTGCTCCAGGATGAGAGCTTCTAAGGGACTAATATTGGCCTTCCAAAGGAACCTCTCTAGTGGATGGTATGGTGGTTTCTGGTTAAATGCTTGATTCTTGACTTTAATCCCAAAATTAATATGGAGCCGGCACTGCTTTGTGACAAATTATGTCACAATCCCCCATTGCACTACTCCAGGTGCATGTGATCTGGTATTGCACTTGATTTCAGTGACAATATCACCTTTCAACAATATTACACATCTCTGACACTGAAAACCTGGGCTCACGCTGTTTTACTGCTGTTGTTTAACAATTAGCATTGTCTTCACTAGATGTACCTCTTTGAGGATATTTTATGGAAATCTTGTTTCTTTTCATGAAGGGAGCAGGATAATCGGCAAGGCACGGACTCAGGTGCTTGTTTTATCAAACTAACGCTTACTAATTCAACTCGCATCCTGGATGAGGGCCTGTTTGAATCTTGGCATCTAACACATCTTTTTTTACATGGTCACCATAACCATAGCTATATGAACCTTCAGCTTCACCTAGCTTTTGGCTCTGGCTGTATCTAGAAAAGAACACACCTAAAAATTCTGATAATTCATTGGGTTCTCATGTCCCTCCTAAGAAACTTCTCTCTTTGCTTTGTCATTCTATACCCCAGTAAAAGTTGCTTCGTTAGAGATTCTGTTCTGTCTCTTGAGCAGAAATCTCTTAAACCTCCCCACCCCTTTATATTCATAGCACCCATTTCCCCCTGAATTTTAGGCAAAAGTGTGTAACCTTTGTTTTACACTCATTTAATTTAGAAGATACAATTCTTTCACATCTTTTACTTAGGGGTTTAACTGTGTATATGGGAGTGACAAATTTTAAAAGTCTGAAAATCCATTTTTGGCCTGTATAATTCTTTAATTTGAACAAAGTTGGATCATAACTTGTGTCATGCCATTGGCATATAGTGACAAACAATTTTTCAGCCATGGTTTCTATTATGCACAAGGTTTTCTGTGCATGTGGATACATGGGTCAATACACATACATGCACACATGTTATTTGCTGAAATATTTATACTTAAGATACTTTAAGTATTATGGGCATAAACTGTAAGCAGGGGTTAGATAGTGTGCCCTTCTGAATGGGGAAACAACTCATGGTCTTACATTTCTGATTCACGAAAACGAGTCCGTTTTTTGTCAAAAAAAATTGCATACATAGCCTTATGCAGGCTTATAGAGTGCTGTTGGGGGCTGGGGGGTAAAAAACGGCCCATTTTTTGCTCATTTCTGCCCTCCCCAGCCCCCAGGAGCTCTCCGAAAGCCTCCATAAGGGTATGCAAGGTCATTTTGGGGAAGGGGGCGGGTCTTCTGGACGCAAAAAAAATGCATGCAATGTATAAGACACACCCATATTTTCAGCCTCTTTTTTGAGGAAAAAAAGTGCATCTTATACTCCGAAAAATACGGTACTTTTCTATTTAAAACAAGTTTCTTAAGGTAGTGGCCTTCTAAGAGCACTGAAGAGATTCCACCTGAACCTGAAAATTTCTACTTAATTGAAGCACACAGTGGAAATTTAGATTGGCTTTACTTGTACTAGTATTCCCTCTCATCCACCTAAAGTCCAGAGCTCAAGAAGCATCCCTGGACAACACAGGCACACACACATACCCTTTGTGGCAGGGACTGCTGCTGCTGTTGTGCTCCTTTTACCCATTCAGTAACTGATGGTGGCTTTCGAGTAACTGTTGTTGTCTGCCTACAATAAAATGTACCTCACTGCTTTGGCTCAGGGCAACAGCAGAAAACATTATTGGGCTAAAGATGTTCTCCTGTATCCAGTAGTGCCCCCTCCAGACATGACATGTAGTTTTGCTTTTTCATTATATCTGTGTTCTGTTTTGACCTCCTGAGCTTGGTCCTCTGCTACATCAGCGTTCCATACCTCCATCAATCCATGCATACTCAAAGATCGTCTTAAAAATCATTTGCAAGAAATGCTTCAGATCTTCCACAAGCCCGGTATCTTGCTGCTGTTTGTTAAATCTTCCTGTCTTTTTCACGCTTCCACATACCAGCTTGAGAGAAAGATGTGTCTTCTTTATGAGGAAGATTATCCTCAGGGAGTTGAGTGCTCTTTTTTCAAGCTTGCATAGATCTTTGAAAGAAAGATAGACAAGGATAAGGAATAGCAGAGAAGAGCTGTGTTCATGTCAGCTCCAGGGCACTTCTGAATCATTTTCAGACCATGCAGAGTGCAGAAAAAACAGGAGTTTCCTGTTTGCTGCCTTTAGTGCTATATATCCAACATGGGTTCCATCTGGCTAAATTCTGGGCATGGCCCAAAAGGGCAATTTCTGTCATGCCACCTCTGGTGTGGGCTGTCAGCCACACTGACAGCGTGAGCTACCTAATAAAGACTCTATATGTATCTCTGTTGCTTTGCTAGCCCAAACAGCAAATTCCAAGCAATTCCTACTATTGAGACACTTAGGCTTTCAAAACTGTGGTTGTATCGCCCTAAGCGATGATGCAGTGTGTGTTCTTTTAGCTGTGCAAAAGGAGAAAGAAAATAAAAATGCTGGTGTGCCTAACCTTTGCCAAAACTTAAGAGACTGGTGAGGGAGGAGGTTTTGTCTGTTCCGGGCCAGTTCCATTCTAGATCTCCACGTTAACCTCCCAGCCTGATTTATTTATTTTGGTTTTAAAACAAAATCAAACTGAGATGTGTTTGGCTTATACAATAAAGCCTGATCTTCTGGTTTAAAGTGTGTCCAGCTGGCTTAGTTGTCTGATTTATTCAGATCGGGACAGCCTGATCTACCTTTCTGGCCATGTAGAATGAACTTGGGTAAGGGACTCTTCAGGCCATAACTTTGCAGACTCAGTGCTGCGAGCATGGAAAGGCAGTATTGTAGATTAGTGACATGTCCCAGCTGGTGTGTAAAGAGCCCTCTTGACTCTACATTCGAAATCACTCATCTCCAAACAATGTGACTGAAAGCACTCGCGGCACTGTGAAGTTGTCCTTGCACATAAGGGCTGTATCTTAATTGCTCACAGAAGCAGAGTTACCTATTCAATATGGATGTTGAGTTGCACTTCCCTTAAAGCTAGTGTGCCTCTTTTAAAGTCCAGAAGTGTCACTCAAGAGTCTGTAATCCTTAATCAGAACTACTATAAAAACTGGCCAAAACAATAGAAGCAAGTGTACAATAAATTATCCTATGAATTGTCATCAAAAGAATTGTAGTTAGCTGTATCTATAAAGCAAAGGAACTATTTAAAGGCAGCTATTTCATCAAGGGAAGACTTGTATTGCAAAAAAGGTTTAAAGGTGTCAGAGCCTTTGATGGGATGAGTTTCAAGTTTCTGCCATAGAACTGCAAATCCAATATTCTGCCTTTCTGTAATGCTCTCTAGCTATCAAGAACAGAAATTTTCTTAAGAAAGAAAACTCATAATACGCATGAATTTCATCTATAATTGTGTAAATTGGCGCTAATACATTATGACACAGTTTGATGCAAATTAAGACTACAACAATTGATGCTACCATTGATAACTTGCCCTCAGCATTGAGAAATATTTTAACAAGAGTTTATAAATATGCTAGTTTTGACAACAAAACTAGTTTAATTGGCATTTTCTCCCTTTCCAATGTCGGGAAATTTAAGGTGGTGCTTCTTGTGATCATATGCAAGTATCGGCAAACAGATCATAATCTGCAGCTTCTGGAAACCAGAAGCTTGTTTAATCTTTTGGAAAAACACACTACTGTAATCTGTTAATATGAAATTTGCTGGAGAAAAAGTTTCTGCAACTGCTTAGGTAAAAGGCTTGGATAGTTCCAGCAAGATTATTTTTGTTTGGACTGCAGCATAGGAAGAAGATGCATGCTTTATCTGTGTTTTGATACTCAGGAGACAGCACAAGCGCTAACTAAAACAAAAATGTGTTTAACCAAATGTGAGGGCTTGAGCCTCCAGTAGGGTTTGCAGATTGAAAAAAATTGAAAATGTGTTCCCTTTGCAAATAGTGAATGGTTCAGTTTGTCCTTGGCGGATGCAGGAACACTAGTAAGTTGTTTATTGGTCTTCAAAGGTTTTTTGACCTTTTATTTGTATGAAGGTCTTTGGATTTGCCTTCATATGATCCCCTTAATTATCCCAATATGTTCATGTTAAGTCCAGTCCATATTTAATACTGCATCTGCACTACTGGGTTCTCTGAGAGTGAGCTTGGAAAAATCTGGACTTTTAAGTCTTGTCTCACTTGGAGATTTCCTATATGGGTCACTTTCTTAGCATCTTTTTTTTTCCCTTCTCCATTTGAAGGCATCTCTACCAACCTGCCAAGTGAGTTTGTGAAGATTACAAATGCATTTTTAAGTCTTGTTAATCCCTAACAGAGAACAAAACAACAGTGTCAAACTGAGATGTGTGCATGCAGGATAGTTTATGAGAACAGAATTTGAGAAGTGCCATGGTTATCACACCATGAAATAGTATGTACTTTGTAAGTGATGAGACCTAAAATGACATCTCAGTAGGTTCTCTTATGTAACTTAGAATAAAGCACTGCATTCAGTTCCCCATGGATTTTATCAGTGTTCCTTTGTCTGGAACAACTGTTTTGAAGTGTAGATCTGGAGCAACTTAACTGTTGCAGAAGGAGAATCATGGTACCCAAAAATCATATGTCTGGTAGCAACTTTTCAGACTAACAATAGTTTGCTATCTGCTGAAGTAAGCTACAATTCAGGAAAACCCAAATCTTTATTCTGGAAAGATGCTACCAAATTATTTCTGATTTTTTCTCTGCCAGTGGCCTTCAAGGGAATGTAGGGATTGACAGCCAGCATGGTCAGCAACTAAGAATTCTGGAAGTTTATAGATCAACATCTGGAGAACTCACAGATTAAAAGAAGAATAACTTAGTGATAACTATGTAATACAATGTACCCACATTTTTGTATTTTGTATCTGGCATCAAAGCAGTATAATGGTCCTCTAACTCTGAAGAAGTCGTGTTTTATTGCAAGGAGCTGCTTGTGGGCATGTTCCATTCATCTTACAGTTTCCATGAGTCCAGCCTTTCCTAAAATGGTGGCCTTTGGATGATTAGGTCTATATCAGAGGTTCCCAACTGGGCTGCAGCCTGTTCAGAGCCAAGCGAACCAAGCAACAGGTGAGCATGCAGCTCCTTTTGTGTGAGTGCCTGGCACTCGTATGTGTGTATGCAAAACTCAATTCTGCTGCTCACACAAATGGAGCTGCATGTGCCTGCAACTCACACAGAACCATTTCCTCCCTCCACCTCCACTCAGTCTGCAAAGCTGAAAAGGTTGGGGACCACTGCTATATATTCCCTCCTATCAGTGGTGGGATTCAAATAATTGAACAACCGGTTCTCTGCCCTAATGACCAGCTGGATAGGCATGGCTCGGTGGTCATGTTACTGGGTAAGTGTGGCCAACTCAACATCACTCAG